GTGAACGCACCATAAGACTTGTTGTTTTTAAGAGTTTTCACGTTAAAGAAATAAGTTACACAACTGATGTTACAATACAAAGAGATGGATGTTGTCTTGATATTTGTTAATTTTATATATTGAGAAATATGTTAAATTAAAAAAATAAAAAGTTTATTATTGAAAAAACAACACACACAAAGTACCGAAAATTGGTACCGTTAAGTACCGGTACCGATTCCCAGGTATCGGATATTGGTACCGAATCGATTCAAACGTCAATGGTACCCATCCCTAGCAAAGAGTGACGACCCTTTGGGTCCCCAGATGTAGTTTGCCAAAGGTGGTCCATGCATGAGTCAGCACCACACAAACCAAACCACAACAGTCTTAAAAGCAGAGCCATCACTGCCAGACCTGGCCTACGTCTGGTTGACAAACCACTTGCCATGCCAGCAGCTTGATACCAGATCTGGCCCACATTTGTCTGCTATGTGGGAAGTATTTTTAAGAGCAAATTATATATATTTTCCCATTCTGCCAAAGTTATGAATTTGATTTTTTTCTTGGAACAAGCATTCATCCTAAAATATTATTTTTGACATCTGAATCTTGTCATTTGCTGTTTTTATTACAATCTAATTACTGAAATGCTGCTGCTAATATAAGCAAACAAATCCTACAAATTTCAGCTAAAAATACATTTAAATGCAAACAGCAAACTGAACCATAGTCAAAGAAGATTGAAAGAAACATCGGGACTTTGCTTGGTAATGGATCAGATTGATGCTGAAACAAACCTGATGTCCTCAATGATTTCTCTTTGATTATGAAACAGGGTCTCAGACTGGCAGCTGGAAGCGTCCTTTTCATTCGATTCAGACGTCTGAAGTTGTTCCTCACCCTGACCTCCCTCAGCGTCACTACTGACGTCTGAGGGCTCTCCGTTAGCAACTGAAGCCAGCTCATACAGCTCCTCTTCATCCTCTTCCTCATCAAACTTCACGACTTGGTCGCTGTTGACTAAAAAAAGATTTAAGGAGTTAGGTAGGTAAGACAGAAAAAACAAAAAAATCCTAATAAGTAGTAGAAAACGCTAACCTTGCTCAAGGCTCTGGTCAAGCTGAGAGGACACAGAGCTTCTGTCCACAACGTCATCATCAAGGTAGTCATCTTCACTCAAGTTGTCAGCAAACGGACTGCTGCTTTCAGAATCAAAGCAAGGCTGAAATCAAAGAAGCAGAAAATTTGCAGTGTAAGTTTTCAGTTAAAACAGGAAAAGATGAATATCCTGCTATGTACAGGTTTGATTATTGGGCCTCATGCAAGAACCGTTTGTACGCACAGATTTGTTCTTAAATTGTGAGTACGAGTGATTTAGGAGAATTTGTGGCATTCACCAATGTTTTCGTATTCTAAGATTTTTTTCAGATACGAACAAAATTCACGAGTGGTCCAGACC